CCACCAAACAGCTCTTGTCCCCAAATATTTGTTACATACCTGCGTCAAATCTGACAGGTCAGGTGGTTAATTGCCCTGTGTGACGGGTTTTGTGGGCTCTTGCAGTGGTGGTGTGACATGCTAGTTGTGGTTACTTTGGTTTTGCTTTGCTCCATTTTTCACTCGTTGCCCCACCCCTGTTTCATAGGCCAGAGGTGGTGAAATGTCTTTATTTTTGGTTTTGCAGCATTTTGGGTTTAGATGGTGTGAAGCAGGCATCAAGCAGACTCAGTTTGATTCCCTAGGTAAAGTAGAGAGGTTTTTGTACCCCCTTGCTCTCAAAGTAAATACTGAAACTCTAAAAACAGCAACATGGAAATAGTTAATATGAAGCAGAGTCTTTCAAGTCATCAACTAGCTTAACATGGCTGATTTATTTTTTAGGGGGGGAAAAACAGTTTATTAATCACAGATGTGCATGTTTCTAGTGTTAAGAAAGCTGGGACTAGAAGGAGAATTTCCATTTCCCTTCCAATTTCAAAAATTTGCCTGTACATTGGAGGTAACTTTATCTTCTAGTTTGAGGGGGTCAGAACCCATGCTGCCTGCCCTTTCTCTTTAGCTTGAAAAATATATTTATGGACTCTCAGTGAACTCTCTGACCTCACCACCAGAGCAACATATGTGGTTTTTACTTTGAGAGAAATGGCAGTTAAATGCCTTCTTTTCTTATTATGGCTATGAAACAAATCCCATCCATTAGGCTTTTAAAAAATACTTAATTGAATTACAAAGCTGTCTCTAGTTGAGCAAATAGTAATTTCATTAAATTTGATGGTTTCTTGTTGAATTGGTGTTGCTCTTTGTGATCGTTATATGTGTGTTGAATTTTTGTCCCCAAGATGGCCATCTGTTGCATTTATCTTTTTCTAAAAGGGAATCTGACACTCACTAGAAAGTTTACTGTACTTGAAACGCAGTTGAGGTTAGCATACCCCAAATTTGTTCCATCTGTTTTGGTTTTAAAAGTCCATGTTGTTCTTGGTTTAATTTTGAACACTCGTTTTTCCTCTTAGCATATTTTAGTGATAAAATATTCTTGAGCAACACTAAAAAAACAATTTGCTATGTAGTCATAAAGGAAACAAAGCCAATTTAGTGTAAACAATCCCAAGCATAGTAATCAATCAAACCAAGTCTGTATCCCTAATTTTATAGATAGAAGTAGTATATAGTGATGGGGCAGGGGGAAATAAGACACACCCATGTGTCTGTTCTCATAGTGAAGGTGAAAGGTCTTTCTGTGCTCTTGAAAATGCCTGTATCAGATATTGATATTCCCTAATGTTTGGATCTGGCAACACCTCTGCAAAAATATATGAGCTTGAGCACCTAGGTTTTTTCATGACTGCTATAGGATTGTAACTAATCTCCTGAGGAAGCAGATGGGAATAAGAATTGGAGAATCTGGACTCCTGCCAGCTGGGATGGGGTGGGAAAATAGATGGTAAAGGATCTCATTGGGAAAATACTGGTATGGAGTATTTGTAGTGAGTATTAACATTGACCTATGAGGCTGTAGGGATGTTTTCTGCAAATTTAAGGAGAGGTGAAAAATCAGGTCTGATCTCTGAAGAGGCTAGTGGGTTGGTATCCCATTCAGGTCAACAATGGTGATGTTAAACCTCTTTTTTTTGTTTGGTTCACTTTGGGGTTTTTTTTAACACCTTTTAAAATAAAATTTTATATTTAAGCTGATGCTTTTGTGGCAATGCAGTATTTTTTCTTAATTTTAAGATTTTTCCTTCTCCCCCAGTGCTTTCATGCTTTAAAGAGCAAAGAGGAACAGTGTTATCGTTTCAATGTACTGCTTATATTTTGTCCACTTTTATGATTCCCTGAAGCCCTAATAATTCTTCAATAAGTACTTCATATTAAATCATGCAGAAGAGAAGATGAGAAGAAGTTACATGCTGCATGCCAAATGAAAACTAATGCTGTGTGGGAGGATATGGCTAAAGTATGTTCTGTGAAACATGTCCGGCTAACATTGTTTTGTCTCTTAGATCCTCTCCACTTGAGTGGAGTGGACGTACTTCCTCATGCTCTCTTCCCTCCTCCTGCCCACAAATTCTTGGCCGACTTGGGTTAAGAGTAGGAGTGGTAGAGCAAAAGTGCAGCCAGACAAAAATACTTGTCTCCCACAGTTTCAGGGGCTCTGCATTGTACTATTCAGTTTTACAAAAAATTTGGTAGTTGATAAGTGTTGATTGTCAAAAGGATGGGTGAGAATTTGAGGAGGTGGAGCACAGGTTTTATAAAAAGAAAACTGGGTTTATTAACTGCAGGCATGTTACATTCTTTAAGGATAGACATGTTTATGTAAAAGTAGGTCTTAGGCAATCAGTTACTCCACCACCACACTGCCTTTTTCTCAGAAAGGAGTAATTGTAAGGGAAAGAAATGCAACAGATACAAAAATACGAAACAGTAGATGGTGAACCTCTGCAAAGGCTTAATTGTGTGGTTTTTTTAATAAACAAGTGAATGTGCTGTATTTTATTTATGTGGAAGGAACTTGTATGAACTGTTATGGGGACAAAATATCTACAAATGAAAGAAAAACTTGGTTGAGTGATTATAACATCTTTAAGCTTGGGAGCCTTGAAAACAAAGCATTTAGTTTGTTCTTTAAGAAACCTATTTACAAGAACACCACCCTCACTGTTTTCTCCTCTTCTGTGTTCCATTAGCAGAGTGCCAGAAGGCAATTTATTGAAATACCTGTCAGCTGATATTTGCTGTGATTTCTGAAACAAGGCATCTGATAAAAATTAAAAGATGCATGATACAATAAAGGTAAAGTTGAGTTTGCTGAAGGAGCAGTCAAACTAACTTCTTATGGAGGTTTAACAGGAGATTGTTTGGATTCCTGTGGAAAGCTTGCACATGGTTGCGAGTTTTGTTTGGAATTTTTTTAATAAGCAGACCACTTTTTTTTTTCTTAAATAAAGTAAAAAAATCTGTCATGATGTGGATGCTGATGGCTAGTAGACTTGCTTTTCTTATATATGTGCTGAGGACCCTTAAGCAGTAATCCAGGGGCCTTGAGGGATACTCAGATTGCAAGCTGAAAACCATTGTTATAGGTAATTAATTTCTTCCTTATGTTGCCTGCTTCAACAAGAAAATAATATGGTAATTCTGTAGCACTGCTATCCCAAGATTTAGAGACAAAGACAACTAGAGTAACTCTGCATCTGCTTTTTGGTAGTACCAAAAGCTTAAAGCCTTGAAACCTGGTTAAGTTTCCTTACTTCTGTGCAGCACAGCTACAGCTAAAAGATAATTCTGTAGATGAATCCTGATTATGGGTGACTTGCTCGAAAGTGTTAGCAACTAGCTTGTTGGACTGCAGGTATGCTTTATAAAGTTTATCTTCTGCTTTAGGGAAACATGGTGAAAGTGGTGGTTAATAGCAATTATTACTTATGTGTTCATACAGCATAAGCTACAGGAGTTACTAGCATCAGAGCTGGTGTATCTTAATGGTCACATGCCATCTGGGTTTTATTAGAATAGAGAGAAATCCTGACAAGTGGCCTGATAGATCACAATTTTGGATTCCAAGTGAAGGATGCCCTTTTTGGGACAGCTTGAACAGTGAAGGAAAAATCAGAAGTTCTAACTTATTATGTTCACATTTTATGTCTCTTTCTGCATCTTACTTCAAGGCCATAATTTGCACTTTAAATACTCTATGGAAACAGAGCAGGCTCACATACTTGTGTGTAGATCCAAGGCATTTGGGTGTTTACAATGAAGTGTATTGCTACATCAGTCTGATAGTGTTGTTCAACAAAATTCAAACTACCTCTGGTCAGACTGGCAATACGCCTCTTACGGAAAAGCTGCCAGAAGAGGTGACCTGAACATCTGTGTCAAGCTTCAAGAAGGAACACAAGCACTGTATTTAATTCCCAGCAGTAGAAACATTCAACAAGACATTATTTATGTCATCCTTATATAAACTATCTATCTGCAAAAGTGCACACACATGGAAAAAAAACCCCATATTTGACAACCTAGGAGAGTCTTGTTAATACCCTAGTTGTAGATAATATTCATAGGAGTGGTGTTACGAGAATGTGTTTTTAGGAAAGGAGAATTGCTGGGGGGAAAAAGCATTGTGCTGCATGGGGAAAAAAGAAATGTAGTCTCACAATGGCTAATGAGTGAGTGTTTATCGTAAGCATATGGTCCAGTTCAAGTGACAGGAGCCTTGGTGGGAAAGTAGTATTGGCCTCATGTACGTATAACTATGGCTTGAGAAAAGTGTATCCTTAGTTTGACTACAGAACTTCAGGCATTGTCATGCTGAGAAATACTGCTGATCATGAGATTTGAGCAAATGGACTTTTTGACATAGATGTTCTTTGCCTTTAAAAAAATAAAAAAAAAAACCAAAACAAACCACCCAAAACTCCAAGAAGATGTATACAAAAGGCAGACATTTAGCCATTTTCTGGATGATTCTTCCCCCTTTCACAAGGGTAGGGGAAATAAATAATAAAAGTAACTGGAACATTTGTAATAAAATTTGGTGTTTGAAAAACAGTTCACTTATCTCATGGAGGCAATTATTTTTGCTCTTCATGTCCATGCTCAAAGCAGTATACATTAAGAAATAAAACAAGCATATCTTTCCATAAAGTTAGATGACATATGGGAAGTATAGTCCCCTCGTAAATAAGTATCAGCAGTGCTAAATATTAGTTACAACAAACACTGGGGATATGCATAGCAACTTAATGAAAACTTGTCTGTTGTAAGCATATAGATGGTGCTTACTTGTGCGCGGCTGTGTGCAGCATGAACACTGGTAGTTGTGGTGTTGTTAAAGGCCAGGTTACTTCAAAATAATCTGTAAATCCAGTCTGTTATCCATTACTGCATATGTAAATTGTCTTGTTTCTCACCAGTGTTTCAGCTTTAAAATGCTCCCCTTGTTCTCTTTTTAGACTCGCTTTCGGTCTCCAGCAACGATGCCAGTCCTCCTGCGTCAGTAACATCCCTTCAGCCCCACATGATCGGTGCGCAGAGCTCCCCAGGCCCCAAGCGCCCTGGCAACACCTTGAGAAAGTGGCTTACCAGTCCTGTGAGGCGTCTCAGCAGTGGAAAAGCAGACGGGCATGTCAAAAAACTGGCCCACAAGCACAAGAAAAGTAGAGAGGTTCGCAAAAGTGCCGATGCGGGCTCTCAGAAGGACTCTGATGATAGTGCAGCAACCCCACAAGATGAAACTGTTGAAGAGGTAAGCTTTCAGGGCAGCTTCCTGAGACTTGTTTTTATGTTCTTCAGAGAGCTAGATGTTGTCAGGTGAAAGCTGTCTGCTCAGTTGACAAAGTGGCATGTGCCATGTGCTCATTCATGATGCCTGCTGTACTCTGCATAAGTACTGTGCCAGGCACAGTTTTTGCTCTTCCTTACTGAGAGCATTAGTAAAGCTCTGAGGAGAAGGGTCTCTAGTTGAAAAAGAGAAATGGGAGAGTAAAATGTTGTTCTCTGGCTTTGCTTTCTTATCCCTCTCAGGAAAGCAGGTTTGTGAGTAAAGATGCTCTGTGTTCTGGGAATGATCAGGTTATTTTGTATTTCCTTTCATTTTCTTATTGATGGATCAGGGAAAATATAGGCAGAGCTGCTTAACATCTTGAAGCTGTATTTATACCTTGAGTAAGAGTTATAGTGCAGAAAAAATTACTGGCCCTTCAAATCAAAGGGTAGTTACTGTTGGTCAAATAATAAACATGGCACTTTTCACTGGAGAGAAGGAAATTGTGAACTATTCCAGATTTGCCACTAAGGACATCTGCTGAAGGTTTCCCTTCCTTCCACAAACATGTGCCCATCCTTTTAAGCCTAGAACTCATATATGAGCAAAGGCTGCCTCCAGTTAGGCACAGACAGAGCCAAATTCTCTTCTGTTAGAAACCTGTGGTTCAGGCTGAAAGGAATGGCATCTTACTACTTCTGAGGGTACAGCCACTTGCATGCTGTACAGTTATACCCTTTTACCAGGCTCGAATCTGACTAGTCATTTTGGTAGTTATCATACAGAAAAGTGGTCTCAGATGCCCAATTCATTTTTCAGTTCTTTTTTCTTCTTGCTTCTGACATATTTTGCTGCAAGTGTGGAACATTAGTGAAGTTATGCATTTTTTTTTAGAAGACTAGAGGCTTGGCAGTATGGTGAATTGGGAAGATGTGGTTTGGGAAGGAATATTGACTTCTGTCCCTGAATATCAGGGCTGTAGAAAGAAACATTCTGTGATGCAGTTGTAGCATTGTTTTGGAAGTAGCTGTTATTCTGCAGTTCTGTGAGTGAGGGAAAACCTTAGACCAGTGCCTTAAAGTCAGGAAAAAACAATAACCAACAATCTATGCTGTCTTCCTTTAAAGATGGTTGAATTGTCCTGCAAGATAAGTTACATTAAACTTAGGCTAATTGAAATCATAGTTCCTTGTATAAATGGAAGGACTATCTTTCAACACAACTGTAAAAAGTATACAAGCAGCCTGCTCTCACTGCGTTAAGGTGGAGGGGGGGCAAAAAGGATAATTGACAAAATACTTGGTGTTGTAATAGGGGTTTTTTTCTATCTCTTTCATAAGCCTTGCTATGAGGGTTGGTACTTCAGATACTCAGTTGAGTTTCTAAGTCAGAGGCACATGTCTCTTTACAGAACTGAACTTGGAAAGCAAGCATGGCTTTGGTAACACTTTCCTGTCGTAAATTTTAAGCTGAATGTCTTGTTCTCAGTATCCCGATCCATCTGCTTTTACCAAACACTGAAAATATTATCTTTGGCATCTGCTTTTTCCCTGCTCTGTTGAGGAACTTCACTGTGTTTGTAAAATCGTTTTGATTTGTTGGGAGAGAGGTGAATCTACAGAATAGGCTTGTTTACTACAGGCTTTTGTTGAACAAGCTTCATGCTGCTGAGAAGGTGACTGAGCTTGAATGTCTTGATTTTATTTACAGAGAGGTCGGAATGAGGGGCTGAGCAGTGGCACACTCTCCAAATCATCCTCTTCAGGCATGCAGAGCTGTGGAGAGGAGGAAGGTGAAGAGGGAGCGGATGCTGTACCGCTTCCTCCTCCAATGGCAATTCAGCAACACAGTCTTCTCCAGGCTGACTCGCAGGATGACAAGGTAGGAGGAGGAAGTGGGGAAGGCTTCACACATTGAGATGACCTATGTTTGCACAAATCTTTCTTCTTTTTCCAAAACTATCTGCAATGTAATAATGGTCGGCTTTATGGTAGACAGAAGTAACCGCTGTGCCAGTTTAGATAACATTAAAAGGGTTTCCTGTGAAAAGAGTGTGAATTAAATGCATCTCTCAATTTTTCTACTGGCACTTAAAATGTGGAAATGGGCAGCTTTGTGTGTTTGCAGTCCTATTTACATCTGTTTAACAGGTGCCGTATTTAGTGTTTAAAATTGAATTATTATATAATCATATTTTTTGGTACTTAAGTTAAAATGTGATGTGCAAGTAGAGTTTATCTGGATAAATTAACAATTGTACATAATGTTTTTAGATCATAGACTGTTCACCAAGCCGTGCTATTTTGGACAGCCTCAGTTCAGAAGGAAAAAAATTTATGCGTACATGCCTTAGCAGAAAGAGATGTTCACCTCAACTCCTAAGGTGTTTCTATGTAGCAGCACAGCTTTTTTTTTTCTTCTTTTTTTTTTTTTTTGGTACCTTTACAGGTGTACTAAGAAGCTAATATCCAAGTAAGGGTAATAATCAAGCTGGCTTTTACAAACAAAGGCACATAAAAATTGAGGGTAAAAATTTTGCATCAGAAATTAAATTCTGGATGTAGGTAGTAACAGCATGAAGAAGATGTTACTTGCATATTATCTGTTTTTCTTAAACTTTATGGTGTTCTTGCATTGAGAGGATTTGTTTCACTTTTCAACATGGATCAAATGGTTAGGGGACAACTAATAAGCCTAGAAATAGAATGTTTTAGAATAGAAACAGTTTGGACTTGGGCTGCAAATATTCACATTCACTGTTTATTTCCCATTTTGCTGCTTAAAATTTTTTAGCCATTGTAATCTACAGCATGAACACTGTTAGTGAATTTTGTGAGTGGTTACTCACTGTTCTGAATCATGGAGATGTTATTGATAACTTTGGCTGATCTTTTTGACTTTGTTTTCTTTCTTTTCTTCCTTTTTATCCCACTGCCTTTCAGTGGAGGTCTCAATCATCCCTGAAGCTATCATTTGTAGCATCAAAATGGCTTGCTTCCATGCTCTATGTGTATTTAGTTCCTACCTGTTTTCTGAATTGAAAAAGTAAAATGTATGAGTTGGGGGAGTTAATATGTTGGGAAATGTTCCTGAAACAAAACAGGCAAAAATAGGCATTTTAAAATTTTGCTGGCCTTAAGACCTGAGAGAATATTTTCTTGCTAGAAAATATTGATCTCAGTCTGAGGTTTAGAAATAGAATAAAAATAATGTTGGTAAAAATATGTTAAAGTTTGTGCTGATAAGCTGCCATATTTGCATGTCCCTTCAGTGATATTAAAAAAAAAAAAAAGAAATTAAAGCCTTATAAAAAGTTTTTTATATAAAAATGGCTTTTGCTCCTCTAGTTCTTTTTATACAGCAAGAACAGTTATGTGAAGGGATATGCTTATAAGTTAGTGTCTGTTCCCTTTTGTATTTCTGGTGCAAAGTCAGACCCATAATACAGTAGAGTTAAGAGGCTTTGAGTAGCTTTCAGTCCCCAGTAAATTTTACTTTCACTTCTTGAGAGGTTAACATGCACCCAGTGCGGTAAAAACATGTTCGGACGATTTTTGAAGTAGCTTAAACTGCATTCTAGAGAAGACTCCTGAGAAGTTAAGATTTGGTACAGTTAATATTATAATTTTTCAAAGCACGTAAATTGTGATTCTTTTGAGGTGCATTGTTTTTGTGCAATATCTATCCTACTGTGTGGTGGGAGGCAAGAAAGTCCCCTCATGTGGCAGCCTGGGAGGTTGTGTGTGCCTCCCTGAAGTCCACACACCAGGACGTACCACCAGTTTCCAGTACCTAAAGCAAATGCTTTATTGAAACACAGAAGTGAGAAGCCAGAGCAAAGTTTTACCCAGCAGAAGCCAGTTGGCTCTGTTGATGGAGTTACTGATTAATAAAAGGCTTGCAAACAAATTCCCAGTTGTCTGCCTTCTGGGTGGAGTCCTCCTTCACATTCCTGCCACGCTCGGTGGTTTCTTGGGTTGCTCAGCTCCTCTGGATCCCAAGGAATGTCTCCTCCTTTCCGTGACCTCAGAGGCTTGGCTTTCGTCTGTGCCTCACTGCTAGCATTTCTTCCTCTCCGGGGCTTCTGGTCTACACTTCTGTGCTGGAAACTCCCTGCTTGCTGGGTTTCTCCCTCCCTGCCCAGCCTGCTGTGGGCTCCAGCAGCATCTCACACCTGTGCGTGCTCAGTTGCTCCCTCCGCCTTTCCTTGTTTTCTGAGCAAGGGCTGTGTTCTCCTCTCAGAGTACATCATCAGGCAGGTCAGCAGGCAGACTTCATCTGTGCAGCTCCTTTTTCAGACAATATGTGATATAATCACACGAACTGGAAACCAACCAGTTCTGAAGTTTTACCAACAGTCACACCCCATATGCTCCCATAGGGCAATAACAGAGAGAAGGGACCTTGGCCAGAGGTGGATTCCAGTACTGTCAGTGTTTTGTAAGGCTAAACTGAGCTCCGCATCCGAAGTTAAAACCCACATACAAGCACAGCTTTGGAAAACCTGATCGACAGTCAGATTTTAGGAGTATACGGTTGCCTAAAAGGCACGCTAGCTGTGGAATAGCTCAGTTTCTGGTGTGCATGCAAACGTCATGTGCTAGGCCATGCTAATTTGTCTAATATCACTAAATAACACAACCATTTTCTTCCCTAAGAGCTCATCTGCACAGTATGCATTCTTCAGTAGAATCATTGCACACTTCATGGATTTGCATTTGATGGCAGTTTACAAGTTGTTTGCATTTAATTTTTAGATAAGCAGTATTAAAGTCTCACGATCAGTTATGTTAATATGAAACTAATTATTTTTGCTTTTTGTTTTCTCTTTTTGTAAACTCTGATGCAGCATTATGTTGACTTGTGTTCTGTCTCTGCTTTGGCTCAGTTCCCATATCTTTCCATTTAAAGTTGTCTGTATTTCCTTTGCTTGCCCAACCCCTCTTTTACTCTCCGAATAAGGTGAATACAAGGCAAACTACCTAAAATCTGTGTGTTCTTTTTTTTGTATTTACTTATGGGTAGCCTTGTTACACCCATGCTTGATTTGAGCAGAACCTCTTGTGTTAAGTCATTATACGTGCTATTTCTTTGTCCAGTTTGTTGGAAACATTTGCAGGACAGCTTACCCTGTGCTATATGATGTTCAGTGTGCTGTTCGTAATATGAAGTAAGGTTCATATTACACCCTGTTTCCACCTTCCAGTTATTTAATGATAAATGTAATATGCAAACAACTCTGTTTGCAAATTATTGAAGCTGAATTTCATGGCCCTCTCCCAGAATCCTTTGCTGTGAACACCTTTTCCCTTCAGCTGTATCTATAAACTGGCATTTTATAGCTTATGAGGCCAGAGATCTGTGCTCTACACATACCATTGGGGAAAATGGATGGCACAAGGAATGGTGAGCTCAATTTCCCCTCTGAATCTGGGCGATATACCTCAGCTCCTTTAGAAAAGTAAATGCCCCTGAGTTATTGGTTTATTTTTTTCTTAACTTAATGATGTTCCTCCTTTATTTCAGGTCTTCTTGGTTCATGTTACTGTTCTGCAGTTGCTGCTTTGTTTAACTGGCAATAAAAATATGTTAACAAACTGTTTGTTGTCCATTGGTCCGCTCAGGCAATTTTTATAGCTATTTGTCAGGCATTATCACAATCAGCAAGATGAAGGATATTTCCTTGACTTCTGTTGCATGTAGAAAAAGGAATTTTTATCCCAGCATTTTACCTTCTGTGGGGGTTACTTAAAATCTCCAATTCCAGTTTCCGAAGTTGGAAGATCTTAGTGTTCTATTACACTGACAGTTATTGTTGGGTGCCTTTGTCTGATAGAGAAGTGAAGGAATTCTCATGATCCTTAAGCAAGTGCCAGGCTAACTCTAGGATTCTCCTTCCTTTGTGTCATTGCACAGACATCTTCTCGATTATTGGTGCGGCCGACCAGCTCCGAGACACCCAGTGCTGCAGAACTAGTCAGTGCAATTGAAGAGCTCGTCAAAAGTAAAATGGTGAGGCTGACTGGCAAATGCATGTGTTTAAAGAAGTTGTGTCAAGTCCCAACTTGCTATTCAAAGAAAAGCTACACGCATTTGACTTGTTAAACTTGATATCTGTTTCAAAGGTTGCTTTTTGGGTTGGTGTATGAGTCATTTTGTACACTCTTTTGTAAAAGCAAAATTGAGTAGGTAAATGGCTATGCAGAGAAGCCAAAAGCAATAAATAAGAGGGAGAGGAGGCAGCAGAAAATGTCCTATTAGTAAAATAAATGGAAAGACCTAAGAAGGTCTTAGCCTGATAGACCTTCATGAGAAGAATCCCTGAAACTAAATTTATGGTAAATCTTGCAAGGTTCAACAGTAGTGCAGATAACCCTCACACAGAAACATTTATAGCATCTAGCTCCTCTTTAGGCAACATGATAATGAAGAAATAAGTAAAAGAATGCAAGGATCATTGTGCATGTTAGTGCCTCTTTTCTTGCTTTTTAGTGTTTGCTAACAAATTAAGGAGCAAGTTGTGTCAGCGTTTTTACTTTTCTGTGTTTCTGAAGATGCTCATTGACAAAGAACAGGGTGTATGGATAATTCCAGGAAGGCCCTCTGTCATAGTCAAAACCCAGCTTGACCCAGTCCTGGAGAACCTGCTGTAGGTGACCCTGTTTGAGCAGGGAGATTGGGCTATATGGTCTCAACAGCTCCCTCAACAATTCTGTGATTCCCTCAAAACCTTTAGTTGTGGGGCTTAGTAGAAGTGCCAGTGTGAAAACAGCAGAGAATTGCAGCATGGCAGCCGCGTGTTACCGGGGATTGGTATTTCCCAGGCTTGTTAATTTAAGCAACTTTGAATTTCAGAATGAGAAATTTTTAATTTGTGTTTCATATTTCCTCATTCAGAAAGACTTACCTTTCACTTATATTATTATATGAAATAATTACTGCACTTTCTTAGAGTGTTAACTTTGCTTTTTACTTCTCTTGCACCGGAAGCATGAATAAGAAGTAATCTGTGGGAAAATTCAACAGTCTTTTGTAAATGGAAAATTTGATAGTCCATGTGTCTTTCAGGCAGCCTGTCAGTGGAGGTAACTTAAGGATCCATACGTATGGTTCCTGGTGGAGATGTTCTCATTTCACAATTTTAGCCAAGGGTCAGCTTCCCCTGTTTTTTGGGCTAGTCATATCATTATTGGGTTTTTACTTTTTGCAGGGAAAGAAAAGAAGATTACAGCTGAACCCCACCCTGGTGAAGTAGACGTGTCTTGCATTAAAGGCTGTATCACATGCAAGGAAAATGTGATACATAGCTGTAGCTGGATCCAAGATTATGGGCTTGAACAAGTCCAATAAATACTTTATAGAAGCTTGTTTGTATTATTTCTCCCATGGCTTCTCTATCTTTTAGACAAACAGAAGTCTGCGGAGTCCATGCAGGGGAGACAGTGTATCTGGCAGAAGAGACAGGGACTCTTTCCTAGTATCTGAACTGTCATGAAGCTCAAAAGCAACGTTGACAGTGTAGAGGTCATTATTGTCTTTAACGAGTCAGTATTTTGGCTAGTTAATATGACAAACAAAATGTGTGACAAAGAATGCCTCTTCTGTTGTGTTAAAAAAATGTAACAGCCAAAGAATCTCCTTTAAAGATGTCCTATTTGTTATTGAAAGTAACTTGCATATGCCAAAACTAAAATATGACAAATATAATTTAATCCCTGGCAATAAACATACCATGGAAGTACTTAAATCCTGAGCAAGGTAGTCTGACTTTTAGCCCTCGCTGCTCAAACCAACTGAACCCCTTTCTTTTCCTGTGAAGGAAAGACTGATATATCTCAAATGTACTTCCATAAGGCTAGGTTATCTGTGCAGGAAAGCCAAGTTGTTGGCTGGTGTCCTGGAAGCTCAAGGCCTCCTTTGACAAGATACATTACAATAATGGATGTCCCATAGGTTCCCATATACAGCTGTATGTAAATATGTCTTGTGAAGAAAGGGGAAATATATCATTGTTTCTGTCTGTCTTGAACACCTTCTCAGGCCCTGGAGGACCGTCCAAGTTCCTTGTTGGTAGATCAAGGTGACAGCAGCAGTCCGTCCTTCAACCCTTCAGATAATTCCCTTCTCTCTTCCTCATCACCCATAGATGAGATGGAAGAAAGGAAATCCAGCTCCTTAAAAAGACGACAGTAAGACCATATTTTTACTCAATTTTTACAATGTTTTGAAGAGAAAAAATAAATGTTTAAAAAATGTCCATTTCAAACTGGCAGCAAAAGCTGTTAGTCTGAAAGGGGAGGACTTAGGTGTCAAGCACGTAGTCACATCATGCAAAGAAATATTTTTTCTCAAACATCAGTTGCAGTTCCAGTTTTCTGTGATTTTTAATTTTAATCATAGCTGTGTTTGACTTCTGTCACATGCCAGTCTCAGTTATGCAGGAAGATGCTGATCTTTAAATGTTTAGAGGGCTATTAGGCTTCAAAAAACTGATCATTCCCTTTGTTCTGTTCCACCACACTCTTAATTTCTTCATGCAGTAGTAAACCATTACCGTGGTAGAAGAAAAACATGCCTGGTTTCAAAATTATTTAAACCTGTGGGTAGAAATAACAGTGCATATACTTAAGTCTCCAGACTAGAGACATAATAGCATTTTATTTTAAGCAATAGTTAAATGTTTAATTTTAATGACGCATGTAAGAAAACATCTGGCTTCAGATAAACAGAAGCAAGCCTGCTCCAGTTCCAAACTCAAAGCAGCATCTTGCTTAGAAGGAATGTGCATTAATTCTTCCCTTTCAGCTCTGCTTATCAAACATATGTGACTGCAAATGTGTAAAGTTGTATGCCATTAATCCCCTTTAAGAATCTGTTTCATTTTTAAATGAAATATGTGTTCACCATTTTCTTTCCATTGTAGCTATGTCTTACAGGAATTAGTAGAGACAGAGCGAGATTATGTACGAGATCTGGGCTACGTAGTTGAGGTATGATGTTTTTCATTCTCTTGGGTTTTCTTTTACTTTTTTGTGTGTCACTGACCAGCTGTGTAGCTTGAACCTCACAATGTTTTTTTCAAAGCAAAACACAACACAGGAAGAAACTGAAAATGTGAATGTTTGCATTCTGAGTTTTCCCTCCTGCAGGTTTTGAACATATTAGAAATACTGCATCAAATCTTATTCCCTTCTTTCTTCCTGTTACTGTACACACCTTATTGTTCTGAGGAGTGTAGTTCTTCTGCCACAACCTCTGCCCTAATGGTATCTTAGACTAGAAGGTTTTATTTAGCACAACTAAATTTTAAAAAAGCATTGTAGCTCAGCATATAGCATAACTATCCTGAATTTGAAAGGCTTGCTTCCTCTCCTACTGCTAAGCTTCTTTTAGACTTCCTAGTTTCCTCTTCTGTAAAAAGAGATAACATCGTACATCTCCCTTCGTTCTTCAGCTACCAGCAAAATGCATTTGGAAGAGTAGGGAGAAATGAGCATGACAGTGAATTTCAGCCTGACAAGGTTCCATTCTTAAACTCGGTTTTAAAAGAAGGGAGAGAAAGGAAGATGGGCATTGTGATAGTCTTTTTTACAGCGTTTAGAGGATGTGTTCGAAAGCTATGAACAGATGTATTTTTGTAACTAACAAAATAATTCCTGGTGAAAATGGAATTCCTGGTCAAAGTGTGAACTTTGCAAACTGAAACCAGACCTGGCTAATTAGTAATAGAAGCATTAGGAAAAAATAAAAGGAATAGAGTTGCATGAATATTACAAAATAAAAAAACACTCCTAGCTCTAACTATGTGATAGAATTGCACAGTGAGACAAGTGTATATACACCGAAAATAGAAGATGGGACTATGGGAAAATGTAAAAGGAACTTTATTGCGGCCAGAATGATTGCTAATGGAATTCATGTTCATTTTTTGGTGTTTGGTTTGTTCATGCTGCAAATAGTAGTCCATGCAGTGCAGTCCCATATGCAATGCAGCTGCCTTCTTCCTCAGCGCACTTTGGCGAAGGGTTAGCATGGATGACTGAAATCACAAACACTGAGCAAAGGAGCACAGAAGCCAGTTCAGTGGCTCTGATGTGTACTTGGTAACAGCCCTACGTGGCAAAGGACTGCAGCTTTGTCCTTCAGACAATAAAGAGAAGGGCTGTAGAAGTTTCCTCTAAGCTTTGAGCCTGTTCACGCAGGCTAAATTAGCTACAGTGAATTCATCTTTCCTAGCACTGGGCAGTGTTGTGTAGACAACCTCAAGCCATTTTGTGTCTGTGCTCTATGTTATGGAGCAGGTTTTTTTGGTTTGCTTTTGTGTCCCAAGCAAGCTGTTGTCATGGGCAATTTGCAAAGCTTCTGGGAAAAGGGGGATTACAAGACAACTCACTTTTTTTAAGTTAAAGTGTTCGCAGTGGCTTTCCTTGGACTGTTGCAGGGCTATATGGCACTTATGAAAGAAGATGGCGTACCTGATGACATGAAAGGCAAAGACAAGATTGTATTTGGAAACATTCACCAGATTTATGACTGGCACAGAGAGTATGTATTAACTTGAAAACCATCTGCTGAATAATTCTATGTAAAAAATACTAGACTGACTTTAAGAAATTATTTTTTTCCTCAGATGTTCAGATACAAGTTAAAAACAGTTGGTCTTGTGCTTTGAGTTGCAGATACTGTAGATTGAGCTTACAAATGCTGGTATGAAGATTTGCTTTAAGCAAGGATGCTTATATATAGCAAGTGCTTCAACTGAGAATCTGTAATATGGATAGTATTATGTACAGAAGTTTGTACATTGCTTGAGGCTTTGTTTTCAAAAATGTTTTACCTAACAGCACAGTCTAAGAATTTGTTAGGGGTTAGCATGGCAATATGAGCACCTCAAGCACTCAGACTAGGAAGGAGAAAAGTTTCAATCAATATATGAAATTAAAGAATTTTATTGATGAACACCAATATTTTTTCATCTTGGCATGGATTGGGTGTGTCCTTTTGGAAATCAATATTAAAATATTACACTGTTAACCTTGTAATTTTGGACATACGTTAATATCCAAAGCTTCTGATGGGGGACACAAAGTGGACCTTGCAGTAAGACCACTTTGCCTTGCAATGACCTGTCGCTATGGTGTGTGGTATCAGAAAAAAGTACTTATTCTGTTTATGTTCAGCTTCTTTTTAGGAGAGTTAGAGAAGTGCCTTGAAGATCCAGAAAAGCTGGGATCCCTGTTTGTTAAGCATGTAAGTGAATCTACAGTACAACACGGTTAAGAAAGTGCTGTAAAATAGTCTTCACTGTAAGAGGTGGAGAGATAGCTTGTAAGAGCTTATAAACAGGCTAAGTAAATGCTCTAATTTTTGTCCCAAATATCTTCCTGTGGAGAGGAAATATGAATGAGTGCCCCATTTCTCAATCCAGTTCCAGTTCTGTACAAGGGAACTGTCATTTCATATGACACCTGCCTCCTAATCCCAGGTGTCCATGCAGTACCATGGAACATAGGAAACAAAAATACGAAAGAGGCTAATTCTTCTTTCCAGTTTCAGTGCATTCTAGTTCTGTATCCTTTCTCCTTCTGAGAATCACAGTACTGGTTGAGATTCCTCCCTCTTCAGTTGGGGACGGAATTGAGAGTGCCAGAAATTAATGATGTTTAGTTTTAGTCTAACACAGTAGCCTTTATAGCTTTGTACAAGTCCCTACTTTTCCACTCTTCATTTATTTATTAAAAGAAATGACTATGTGATACATGTGGATATTATAACACTTTGGAAGGAAATCAGATAAACTGCTTACTTATAAACTAGATATCAAAATTCAGGACACATCAGATGTTACGCTAATCAGTCATTTTGGTGTCTCTTTGTGTAGAAACACAATTTAATATCTGTTTGAGATGAGGTCTCAAGGTACTCCAAATCACGCAAGACTGCAGAATGGAAACTTGCCTGCTAAATATGATCTTTTGCACAAGTATGCAAAGACAGACTGGATTAAAGCAGATTTAACGGGTTTCAGATTTGCCGTGCAGTTTCTTTTAAGTCAATACCAGGGCAGCAAAATTGCACAGAAGCAAACATTAATGGAACAGTCACACTGGAAACTAGGACTAATTCCTGGACTAATGCTGAGGACTGAGCTGTTTCTTTTCTGAGGGATCATTTTTTAAAAACAGAGGCATGAGGAGAGGGAAGAATTCCAGCACTGGTGAAATGGGAAACCTGGAGGATGTAACTCTCCCTGTTTCTGATTGCTGTTTTACTTTCTCCTGGTATATTTGTAACTGAGTTGTCTTTGAAAGGCACCCTTACCACTCCAGATGGAAAGGCAAGCTGTGATGCTATTACAACATCCTCTGTCAAAACCCCAACTATCAGCTAGAACATGACGATTCAGTTCCTGCTTTTAATCTGTGTTCTGTGTCCTTTTCAGTCTCCATATTATTTCTTCCTTTTTTACTTTCCGTTTGTCTTCACTGGTCAGTACTCCATAAGCCTCTGAGCAGCAAAGCCTCTAATGGCAAACTGATCCTAGAAAAATAATAAGAAATATGTTGGAGTAGGTAATAGACACATATGGTATTTCTGTTTCTCAGCCACCAAGGTCGGTAATCAAGAATGAATCTTAAAGGCTGAAGTTATGCCCTCTCTCATTTTCTTTGTTGCCTTGGTGTTAAAAGCATGTGCACAAAATACAGAATCAGAGTTAAAAAATACTAGTGCCACCATTTCCAGGCTACATCACCTACTTCCCAACTCAAACTCCAATAGGACAGCTAATACTAAATAGAAGACATGCAAGGATTCTCCTAACTACTCTGTACAGCTAAACAAGAGGAGGTTATTAGTCTAATATATTAGATTATTAAAATGTAATGAAAAATATGATATTTCAAAGCTCCATCCATTGCTCTTGCTAAAAGAAAAAGATAACCATTTTCATACTTAATTTTATTGTGGAAACTGCTGAGCTATCAGCTCTAAACAGGAGTATTTATAACTGTAGCAATTTTTTGACTTGTGTTGCCTTTCTAAAATCATCATGATATTCCCAAATAAATGTGTTTTCAGATCTTAATTTCTGCATATGTAGCTGCTGCTTTTCCTCAAAAGAACCTTTTAAAGTACATACTTTTGAGCAGCTGTACTTCTTAAAATAGTAGTCCATTTCAATCTGGCATGTGTTTTTCTTGATGGTGATGTATCATTCTGTATCTTTGCCTCTTCTAGGAGAGAAGGTTGCACATGTACATAGTTTACTGCCAAAACAAGCCAAAGTCTGAGCACATTGTCTCAGAATACATTGATACGTTTTTTGAGGTAAGTTCCTGAGAGAGGATATATGCAAGGTGAGGGGTTTGTACAAATCATAAGGATTATCAGATCTGTTGACCAAAACAAACGAAGAAAACTACAAAAAAGGCAGCACATATCGTAGTTACTGTTTTAAATTATAATTTCTTGCCATTTCTATTCTGATTTTTTAAGTGTGATACAGGCTTGTAGAGATGTATTAATGTCTAGGAGAAGAAAGCTAAAGTTTAGGTATGTGATAATTTATCAGTAGAGTCTCACCCTTACTAGTCCCTAGCCCAGGCAATTAACAGTGCATATTATATGAAGTGGCAATTTTGGATGAGCAAAGATCAGTGTCAAAAAAAGACTATATATGACCTGTGATTGAAAAATTACAAATCACTATACAATCTTTTCAAAAAAAGACATGGAAAATGCTTGGAGGGGGGAATACTTTGGAAACAAAGCTGGTACAGGTAAGGGGAAGGACTTCAGCTTTTGCTAACTGAAGATTAGATTCTACTCTGAATTTTGCCAGTTTCTGATCTGATAGCCATTAATAGTGATGTATCCTGCTGTGTCTCTAACTCAGCAAAACAAAGTAGTTTCTAACCGAACAAGCAAAAAGCTTTGTTTTACAACCCTCAGGATCTAAAGCAGCGCCTGGGACACAGACTTCAGCTCACAGACTTGCTAATAAAACCTGTGCAGAGAATTATGAAATACCAGCTGTTACTAAAGGTAAAGTGATTTGAGATGGATAATTTAATTCATGTGTTACCTGACATGTTTTCTTTTTAAAATGTTGCTCTCAAACATAACCCAGGTTTGTAAGCAATGTAATATGATTATTTTCTGAGCATATTCGGATAGTTATAAAAATTGCCGTGAATAGCTTAGGCAGAATTTTGCTTTTTCTCTAAACAGTTAAAGATGACATATGCTCAAGTCAGTGACATGGAAATGTTTAGAATTTGTACCAAAGTCATATGAAGGGGAGAGGGATCTCCCAACCGTTTTTACATGTAAATGTAATATGAGTTGTTGGAACTCATCCCAACTTTTCCATCTACATCTGCAACCGTTTTATATCACATAGACGTTTACTGAAGAGCAACCCTGTGTATCACAGAGGTCATTGTCTTAATACATGTTCTGGTAAGATCTAAATCAAAACAGTGAATAAATCTTAAAAAATAAGAGGGAAAAAGCACTGCATGCAGAAGCTTTCAAAATATTTTTTTCTGTTTTTCTGTGTGTCTTCTGCAGTCTCTAATTCTCTGATAGACAATCGCTAATTCAGATTTTCTAAGATTTCTCTTTGCTGAGTAATGAGAACAGAACTCATATTATTGTTTTCTTCCTTTTTCAGGACTTCCTCAAATATTCTAAAAAAGCTAACCTTGACACAACAGAACTAGAGGTACTTAAGACATTGTCTTTTAGTAACTTGAATGCTCTTTACTCTGATCTTCTCTTGTTTTGACAGAGTTACTTTCCTTTTCTGATCTTCTTGAGAATGTGGTTATGAGAAGTGTTTACTTTTTACATTTCTATTGTAAGGCAACTATAGCAAACAAAACAAAATTTTATCCTGCTAACTCACTTGGAAAATAAAGCTTTGACTTTTTTTTTTTGTTTGTTTTGAACAGAGAGCTGTAGAGGTCATGTGTATAGTACCAAAACGATGTAATGACATGATGAATGTTGGCCGCCTGCAAGGATTTGATGTAAGTTGGCTGGGGTTTTGCTTAGAGTTTTCGTCAGGTTCTCTAGAAATTAACCATTAATGTTAGAGAGATGAGGGAGAAATTAGGTGGGGTTCTCCCTCATTATCTGGTTAGCTGGTACAAAAAGCAGTGAATAAAAAAATCAAGTCTTAGCCCTGTCAAGGACTTTTTCCTAGGAAACTTTACCTGTTGTGTCAGTCAGGCTGCAAAATCTAGGAAATGCTGACGTTATTACAGTTACCTTATTGACTAATGACTTGCAAAATAGTGAAGTAATCAGTTATCAGCAGGTGTGCAGACCTGACTTCAGCAGCATAGACGAAGGAGTTGCTAAGATCAATAAAGTGCCTGAGGCAACTGTAGCCCTTCTTGTTTTGCTAAATCTAGAAGAGATGGAGATTGGCTGTTGAAGTGGTACACATCAGCCAGACCATAGTCATATGAATGTCATACTTGAAAAGCCCTTTCTGCTCTGTGATGCGGATATGAACTTGAATTCTTTCCCTTTTTGGCACCCTGGAAGACATTGTAAGAATACATGAGTTACTGTGGGAGTTACTCAGAACAGAGAGGTGAAAGCCTTAGTGTTACAAGCCTCGAACTGCAGTATGAATTGAAAAGGGTGAATGGATTATTTTGTTTCTTTTTCTCTTGGTGATGTTTGGTTTTTGAGAAAGGGCACAAGTATGTCTCGTGTATAAGAGGATTAATGAACGTATAATGGTCAGCGACAGTCAGAAGTTGGCAAATATACAAAGCTATTTTGGCATGAGCATCTGCTGAGAAAGGTTGTTTGGGGAAAAACATTAAGACCTGCACTGAATGTGTTTCTCCTTGCCTCTGTGTTTAGGGTAAAATTGTAGCCCAGGGTAAGCTTCTGCTCCAGGACACATTCTTGGTTACAGACCAGGACACCGGACTTCTGCCGCGCTGCAAGGAGAGACGGGTCTTCCTGTTTGAGCAGATTGTCATTTTCAGTGAGCTGCTAGATAAAAAGAAAGGTTTCTCCATGCCCGGATTCTTGTTTAAAAACAGTATCAAGGTAACTGTTGTGTGTGAGTCTTTGCATCCCCTGCACAAACTCTGATAAGGTAACAGTTTGTGATTCAGTGTGGAGTCACTAGTGACATTTAGATGTGCAATCGTAAAGCACGGTGAGGTGTCAGTCATTTCCTGAAATTACTTCCTACCAAATTTGTGGTCACTCTGATGATAAATGGAAGTCTTTGGATCCCAGTACTCCAATGCTTCCCACGTGAAGCATACCAAAACAAGTGGTCTTGTACAAAGTAGGACAAGCATTTACAAAGAGTTTAGTTTTCAGCTCTGTGTTGTGTGTACACCACATTGCAAAGGCATTGCAAATAAAGATAATAACTCTTCACGTATACCTTCTGTTGAGTTTCAGCTGAAATCACTCCAAATGCGTAGGTAACATTGCCACCTTCTTAGACATGTTAGCTATTCTACAAGAAAATCCTTCAAACAAAAGTTGCTTGCTCTCACTTCAAGCCTTTGCTGAAACAAAACCTGTTGAGATTAGTGCCCACCAGCGCTCCTGGTGAAGCATTTTGGGTGGACCCTGCTTCCCTTAATTCATCTTGGTGCTCTGCCTGCCAGCTGAGCAGTCCTGTTCAGCGCTGGCTGGACAGCCTGTTGCAAGGCGTTGCAGAAGCCTTCCGTGTGGGCCGGTGGTAGAGCTCCACAGCAGGCTCAGCATTTTAAATAACACAAAAGGAGAGTGAGGGACAATGGAGAACATTGGGCTGTACTGACCAGCTGGAGACAGTTAAGGCACAGTGTGTCAGTAAGCTGTAGACCAATCCTTGGTTTACTGTTATCCTTCATTTCATGGTGGCATTTTACTGAAGGAAAGGATGGTCATCACATGGAGATCTGACTCTGAGCTCCTAAGTAAGAGATTTTAGAGGTATATTTCTCATAAAATACATGAAGTAAATTCTTTTTTTTTTTTTTTCCATGAAAGGTGAGTTGCCTTTCCCTGGAGGAAAATGTGGACAGCGATCCATGTAAATTTGCACTAACATCAAGAATGGGCGATGTCACAGAGACCTTTATTTTGCATTCTGCGAGTCCAGGAGTCCGCCAGCTATGGATCCATGAAATTAACCAAATTTTGGAAAACCAGCGCAACTTCTTAAATGGTACATTGTTTACTCTCACTGGAAGTTCATAATTGAATTACTTCTCTCTCATCTGTTGTTTCTTGGCTTTGAAATGTTTTGCAAGTTTCCTTTTTCCTGAGCTAATACAGAACAGTTGGGGGATATGTGCTGCATTTCTGCTTCAGAACAGATGCTAGCATTTATTATAAGAGTGGTAGTCTGAATTTACATGGTGTTCTCTTGGTGAAATTTTCCAAATGTTTTGTAGGAGTAAATCAAGATTGGCACCATCCGTTGAGATGGAGAGCTTGTGTACCCCTTTTAAGCAAATGCAAGCCTTTAAAGGCTAAACCCAAGTGGAATTTTAAGCATCTATTCAGAATATGTTTTGCTTGTGTTATTTTGGTGGCCATTGTTGTCACATCTTACTGTGGTAACAACATTCAGATTCTGCAGGAGAAAAGTAGAAGACGGTAGTGTCTGCAGTGACACTAGAAGGTTTTTGCTATATTTTCGGTATTCATGGGTTGTTGCATCAATTCAGATATTTTTTTAAGAGTTGTAATGGATGGAACAATGAGCTGAGAATTCGAAGTCACGCCGGTTTTTATCCAGCTTGGCTGCTGACTGCTGTAATGGATGGAACAATGAGCTGAGAATTTGAAGTCACGCCGGTTTTTATCCAGCTTAGCTGCTGACTGTCAGTGTGATCCTAGAAGAGAACATTTGTCCCTGGTTTCAGATTTTTCATCTTTAATAGAGGTACATATAACATACCATGAAGGTGTGATACAGAAAAGTGACTTGAGGTCTGTGGCATGACCAGCGTTGCTAAGGGAATTTATCTTATTTGAACAGCACTCCCCCTTTTCCAGTTAACGTCTGTTTTAAACTGTTCCTGTTCTCTCTCCTGCCCATCTTTCTCTGATCACTTTCCCTCCCACCCCCATTGCAGCCTTGACGTCCCCAATCGAGTACCAGAGGAACCACAGCAGTGGTGGAGGCAGCAGTGGGAGCAGAGGCATGAGTGGGAGCAGCATCCGTAACAGCAGCGGCCCCAGCAGCTGTAGTGGCATCCCCAGCTCCAGCCGTAGCCGGCCGTCCCGGATCCCCCAGCCTGTCAGACACCATTCCCCAGTCCTGGTCTCCTCTGCAGCCTCGGCCCAAGCAGAGGCAGACAAGATGTCAGGTATGTCCATTCACAATCTCTCCCTGCCACACTACAACGCCTCCTTAGAAGCTGGCCTGAGCCAGCCAGACAGGCACCTTCCCAGTGCAGAACCGGACGATCCTCAGAGAGAAGCTGAGCAGATTCCCAAGATGAAAGTTATTGAAAGTCCCAGGAAGACAGCGGGAAACACTTCTAGCTCAGCTGACGGAGCCCAGAAGGACTCGCGTGGAAGTTCAGAGGACAGTCGCTCAAGAAACAGCATAGGATCACTGACGCTTGGGAAGCCAAGGCCAGGAGCCATTTCACCAATGAACTCTCCTCTCTCCACGACTTTCCCTTCTCCTTTTGGCAAAGAAACCTTTCCACCCAGCAGCCCCCTGCAGAAGGGCTCCTTTTGGAGCTCCATCCCAGCATCCCCTGCTAGCCGCCCTGGCTCCTTCACTTTCCCTGGGGACAATGACTCCCTCCAGCGGCAGGTCCACCGCTACTCTTCACACAGCAAGGACACAGACCGCATGAGCACATGCTCCTCGACCAGCGAGCAGTCAGTTCACTCCACCCAGAGTAATGGGGTAAGAGCGGAGCACCTCTGTCCTGCGAGCTCTTCTAAAACCTTCCCATGCTCCTTTCCTGTGCGTTGCCATCACTCTCCGTACTAACTTCTGGCTCTCCAGTGCTGTACTGCTCTGAAATAATCAAGTGTTCGAGTATCTTCTGCACATTAAAAAAACAAAATTATCTACTCTGTGTATGTATACATACAAACATGGAGATGTATACAGACACAAAAGCATCTGCTAACATTAGATGCAATTTCTGCCTCTGCTGAAAACATAGATCACTAGGCTGATACTTACTAACTTGCTCTCCTTGCTTTTTTTCGTCTCTAATTTGAAGGCACATAATTAACATGCTGAATCGTGGCAGCCAGAGCACCTTGGGGTATGCATTGCGGCCAGCACTTAAATCTGACTTGAAGATTTTGGCAGATTGCCTTGGGGCTTTTTTCCCTTTCACGCACAAATCCGCCACCATTGTCCCGTTGAGTTTAACTTCGTGGAGACATCTACAGTACGTTCCCGGAGCTGCTTGATTTTTATTTTTTATTAATTTCTGCCCCCCTCCCCCCCCCGTCCCTCTTCCTTTCAGCCTTGGTTAGTGTACAGAATTCTCTTTTTAAATCCTGTATCTGGTAAAGGAAGCTTCCTCCAATCCACTGAAAATAGGTCAGCAAAACCTGGCTAAAATAATCCTTCTTCTACTACAGCCAAAAACCAAATAGTGGCTCCACTTTGTCTTTTCTGCTTTGTAAGAAGAACTGGTTTAGGACATCTGGAGATTCAACCTTTTAGTATGCACTTGGTGTGTGTGAAAAGCTGGTGTATCAACAGAATCCACATTCTCTGTAATAACGTCAACCAGGAAATGCAACACAGCAATCACAGGGGCATGAGCAAATATAAAGCAAAAATTTCAAGGCATTTGCCATGGATGTGGTAGGCAGGCTATGGTGCCTTTCTTTTTAAACTCACATTTGATTTTTCTCTCACTAAGTGTTGTGTTCACAAATGTTTGTTTTTCCACTCTATCACAAATCGTATGCAATACCAATTTTGCAAATCACCTAACTTGCCAGGCCTTTTTCAAATGCATGCATTTCTTTATAGAACTGTTTAACACACAGAGCTTTCTTGACTTCTTAGTTCTTACACTTACTTTTATAATAGCTTCAGAAGAAAAAATTATGCTTTGCATGTATCGTATTTTTACCCCAATCTTCTTTCAGCTTTTCGTTTGGTTTAGCCCTGTCTTGTGTTTATCTTGAGTTTATCAGAATGTGATGATAATATAATATCTGGGATAATTGGAGTATTTTGAAATTACTGCACAGCATGTGAATCAAGATGATGGTACTTTTTATATGCAGAGAAGGCTTGCATAGTATTAATTGGTGTCGTTCCATTACAAAAAGAGGGAGAGACAGGATGACACCAAGTTCTCAAAACATTTGAATTTGATACTATGTCAGCAAAGATGCCATTGTTTGGTTTTATCTTACTGTAAAATGTAGTATCTGAATGCATGCCTTCTGCTTCATTAACTTTATTTCTATTAGTTTGGTAATTGAGATGGGTCATAATTCTTCGTTCATAACCTCGTTTCTAGACCACACTTAAGTGGGATTTCACACCACATTCAACAGGCTAGAGAAAATGAGTTGTGAAGGTTTCTTTGGATTTTGCTATTTGTGTTTGTGTATTTACATGCACATATGGTTAAGATCGGTTACTTACGGAAAAGTTGCTTCTAAGAAGAAGAAAAAGGAATTGGTTTTACTAGTGTTTCAGGAATATGGGAGGGATTTTTTTATATTTTGATTGTAAATCCCCCTCTAATCAAACAATTGATGTCAGTGATGACCAGCAGGCCTTGCAGTAGAAAATCATTAGCCATGGAAGAATAATTACTTCCTTGCAAGGCAAAAGAGAAGTCTCTTTTTCTGTGGTGGGAATAAATTCTGATATAAGCACATTCACAAAATTTGTTACATAGTAGTTACCAGTAAGAAATATTCAGAGTTTAATATGATCCTTCAAGACTTAACAATTAAATGATATGTTATGTTACAGGAAGGTAAGTCCTGCAGTTATACAAATTCTGCTGCATGCAAAAAAAACAGTATGTTCAGCAGTAGTGTGTGGGACAAGGTTTGGGGTTTAAGTTGGTTTTGCAACTTCAGCCTTCCCTTCTTCTTCCCGTGTAAGTCCAATAGAAGGAGTTAACAAGAGCATCTTCCTCGCAATAGGGTTGTTTTTCATCTAGCTAAAAGAATCTAGCAGGCTGTAATCTTAATTTAAACAGTGACTGAAAATGAGACTGGTTTTTTAGTTCTACTCTTGCCGATTTGTCTGAGTCGTGGAAGGAGCTTGCTAATACCAAAGACCATGCAGACAATCCTCTAAGCCAGATAAAATGAGTTCTCACACTGGAAAAGCAGCATCTGGAATTAAACATAAACATCCTTTAGTAGAGGTGCAATCTAGGATGAGATCTTTCTCTCTGTAGCAGTGTTTGCTTCATCATCCTAATTAGAGAAAAAAGACAGAATGGATTTGAATCATCCAGTTGAATAATAGTCCTGCTAGAAAAAAATGTAGACTCACTGGAAACCCAAGCATCAATGTGCTGAACATGCTATGAATGAGCAATCTGAGACCGTTCCTTTCCAAACATCTTGGTTTCTAAGACAGAACACTCGTTGGGAATCACAGGCACTGTGAGATGGAGTGACCTGTTCAAGGCCATTAGCAGATTGGAAGAGTACGTGGTTTTCAGGGCCCCCAGTGTACTGTGCTGACAAGTGACCTCTGCTGCATCTCCTCAACACTGAGGCAGTTTTAAGAAAAATGGTGACACTGTTTTGATCCTGTGTGCCAAGCTGTCAGTACATAAGTGATGCTAATGTGTGGTTATGCTTTATCACCCCTAGAAGCCTCCAGCTGCAGCTGGCTACTGCTTCTAAAACTCAGCTACTAGTAGGCAATAGTGAGCCCTCACTGGTAGCGACCTGAAACAGTTTGAAGTAAGAATAGAGACAAAAGCCAGGTGCACAGACATACGACCCTCATGCCACATCACCAGTGGACCTTCCACTTTGTTTTTAACTTGCTTCAAGAAGGAATAATTTATTTCGAGGAATAGGCTGCATAGTCTGATAACAGATTTCACACTTCCATTTATTAAACCTCATATAAGAAATGCATGCAAATGGGCAAAATGAGTCTTACTTTAAAAAAATAATAATTTCCATTGGATTCACGGCCAGGAGAAGGCTTTTTGTTCTGAAAAGTAGTGTGACTTTTAATGTACACCTGATCAGCCATAATTAGCTTCCAGCAAATGCTTGGTGGGGAAGCAAAAACATTCATGAACACTAGTTGAAAGTGTATGATAAACAACTACCAACACTCAGCTATCATAGTCACTAATCAGTTAAAATGAGATTTCCTGCTTTATTCTGATAGTTCAGTGGGCCTATTTTGCCCAAGAAATGAATAATTTTGTATTTCAGTAATTTACCTCATCCTGTGCGTTTAAAGGAATAAACCTGATCGTACAGATTCAACCAGGGACAAGCCTTGCAGTTTTGAGAGATACTATAAAAAGCCTGTTTTGTTGTTTTGTACCTTGTCATGTTTTATGTGCAGAAGGCTGGTGTCTGAGATCTGACAAATATTGCTAGGGAAGACTATATATATTTTTCATTGTTGGAATTTCCAGGGTTTATGAGGTAAAGTCTTGACCTGTTACGATTTTGAAACTACTCCTATAAGACCATGAAAAACTGTCCTACATGCTGTTCTGTAGTTTTGTTGCCTGATAAAGATGCAAGGTTCAGTGTCTGACCTTGAAAGGAAGATCAGTTGAGATCCATGTATAAACTGACTCTTAGTTAAAGAAGTAACCTTGAGTAAAAGTAATGGGAATACATTTCTGCAGCAGCTGTATGTGAAGGTAGTCAAAGATAAACTAATTTGCACAAGATAGACACAGGCAGCTTTAAAAGATAAATTGTAGCTCTTTGACTACAGCTTAAGTTATGTGGATTATGCAGGTAATGTAGCAGGCCAAGAATAGCCTGTCTTCTTCATGAACTTTAAACTTGATTCTGTTTTTTCCTCCCTCTTTCTGCTTCCAATTGACACTTGCAGAGTGAAAGTAGCAGCAGTAGCAATATCTCCACCATGCTGGTGACACACGATTACACGGCAGTGAAGGAGGATGAGATAAATGTCTACCAAGGAGAGGTCGTGCAGATTCTAGCCAGCAACCAACAGAACATGTTTTTGGTGTTCAGAGCCGCCACTGATCAGTGCCCTGCAGCCGAGGGCTGGATTCCCGGCTATGTCTTGGGGCATACCAGTGCAGTCATCATTGACAACCCTGATGGAACCATCAAGTGAGTGCCTGGATGTGCGTAGAAGGGGAGGAGGAAGAAAAACCTCCAATTTAGACAAGGCTTTGAACTGTTGTAAGCCAGACATTGATGTGGTGTTTGAGAAATAAATGAACATCAAGCAGAATGAGTACTTGAGAGGTTCCTTAGCAAGCTTCAAAGATACAATCTAGTAAGAAGGAGCCCAGAAGCACGTATTCTTTATGAAAAAGCTGTAGTAGTGCAATCTTCTGGGAAAAGATGATGAAAGAAGACCTGATCTAAGGGCAGCAATAGTTACTGGTTTATTTAATAGAATGAGTTATCAGGCTGGATACCTTTGTTTAGGAAAAGAGTCAGGGAATGTTTGTTCCAAGTGAAACAAGATTTCAAAGTTCTAGATCTCTACTTTGAGCCACAAACCTATTGAAGATGACTGGTTGTGCTAGGAAGATCTCCCTCAAATCTGCAAGGGGAGAAATTATATCAGAGTTCTTAGCAGTAAGGCTTTATGTAAAACTTCTAGAGGCTGTGTTTGATACAGATTTCGTACTGATCATTGCTCCATTCGATTGGCAGTTTGTATTTTCATATAGAAAGTTTACCATTTGACCAATGATTTCAAGAAACACTGAACTATACTAGCTTGCTTATAGTTTTAACCAAGGGGAGCATCTCTTACGGAATACTTAATGTATTTCATTTTGGTATACTTTGATACAATGAAATAACATTTTTACATACGTTTCCAATGCCATTTCAAACTAGAGGGTATAACACATAACCTGAAGTTGAAAAAAAACTGATCAAAGTTTAATGTTCTGTATTCAGGAAGTCAACGTCTTGGCACACAGCACTCCGTTTAAGGAAGAAATCTGAGAAAAAAGATAAAGACGGCAAAAGGGAAGGCAAGCTAGAAAATGGTTACCGCAAATCCCGAGAAGGACTTGCCAACAAGGTTTCTGTAAAGGTAAATGTTATGAAGATGTAGTAGTTTCCAAAAGGAGCTGTGTTGGGATTTCATTAGAGGTAGCTTCTGTCAGAATTTCACATGAAGGAAATGGAGGCAACAGTGGTTTTAGTGGACAGTGTTTGACGAATCTCAAACCAGGAGGATATAATCTTTGAACCTGCAAGTGTCATATAGCATAAGGATACTGCTGAAAGTGCAGACTGGTGCAGGAATTCTGGTGTTCAGATGTTTTTTGGATCTTTGTTGGTACAGCTAACTTTGAGCCATCCCTGTTCTTTGTTTTCTACCATTCTTTAATTTCTCATAATGTTATAAGGACATTAATTCTCTAATTTCTACTTTCCAGCTTCTCAACCCCAATTACATTTATGATGGTAAGTTGCTTTAAGTTTTAAAAGTCACAGTAAATATTTACTTTGTTTAAATTTGCTTGACCTGACTTACATCAGGAACTGAGTGTTTTCTATTGAAATAAACATGGGCTCTTTTTGGGTAAGGGAGACAGTTAAAGATTCATTGAACACATTTTTGTTCACAAGTCTAAAACAACATAAAACACAGGGACCGTATGACATGGTGTTCAGAAAGATTTGCATTCTTCTACCGCATTTGCATGGAGACTGTATGGAAGCTGGGCCTTGCTGAATTTGAAGAATAACAAGGCCAGGAGTTGGAGACCTTCTGTTTCATTTTTAACCTGGCACCATAGGGAACGTACAGGGCCTCTCCAGCGCAGAGACCGATCAGGACAAAGATAGTGGCCTTCGGGGGTGACAGCCAAACTGGGTTTTTATCTTAATACATAGAATGAAACTTTTTGAATTTCACCTGTGTGCCAAAAGGGAAACCACTACAGTGCCTCAGTGGATGAGTGATGTGTTTTGTGTTCCCTTTTGCAAACTTATCTGGATATAAAGATAGTCTGGCAGAGCACCTCCTTAAATGCTTCTCACCGTACAGTCTTCTCAGCTTGCCATAAACAGGGTGGCTTCATGGTCAGCTTCAGGGTTAATCATGGCGTAGCAGTAATGTTGTGTCCAAATTCATATGGAGAAAAGTTAACTAGCTCTGCAGAGCCCCAGAAAGTCGCCCCACCGTGGATGTGCTCCGAGGGTAGAAGGATAGATACACTTTGGAAATTTAAAGTACCATACTACTTTATCTAATAGAAAAGACAGAGTGCAAGGAATAGGAAAGCAAAATTATTAACTTCAGTTGACCTAATGCCATTAATTTTCTTTTCCAGTTCCCCCAGAGTTTATAATACCATTAAGTGAGGTAACATGTGAGACAGGAGAGACCATCGTGCTTAGGTGTAAAGTCTGTGGTCGCCCCAAGGCTTCAGTTACTTGGAAAGGTCCTGATCATAACACACTGGGCAATGACGATCATCACAGCATTTCGTACAGGTATAGTAATTTGTCTAATGTTCAACAAGAACTGCTGAAATTGTTGTAGTTTCTATTTGCACCCCTGGTGCAGGATAGCTTTTGCCTTTGAGGCATAAAGATAGGATTGCCCTCAGACAGAAATATTTCACAGCTGGGATTTTCTGGAAATGTTGTGTAGCTTCTGTGTAGAGCTGGGGTACCCAATTGTCATATTCAGTTGATTTTTAAAAACAAAAGAAAATTCAGCTGATATTTCTGATTAGCTATTGCAGAAACCATTGTAGTTCTGACACGCTGACCTAGTGCTTGAACCAGAACAGTATGTTGTGACGTGCCAGTGCTGTGACAGGCCATCCTGACAATTCCTTATTTCCAGTGGTAGCATGCCATCATTTTTCAGGAATATGACTGCTTTCAGATCACACTACGTTATTTTGCAATATAATGGTTCCTACTCTGGAACCTACTGGTTCCTACTGACATGGCAGTGTCACTGTCTTCATTGTTGAAGCACAGAAATTAAAGTTTTTGTCTGTTTTTAGCTTTGTTGTGAGAGAACTTAACAGACCAACTGGTAACTCGAACACCTGAATAATATGAGAAATTTCTGTATTTTGGAATGTGAAACTGCATGGTAGAAAAGGTTTTTTTCTGAAAAAGCATTTTTTATATAAAAAAAGTTATTTAATGAGTAACTTCAGTGTGAAGAAATGTCTTATTTATTGAATTATGCTCTCAATTCAGAATGAAGGGGGGTTTTTGTGAAAACTTTCTCATTAATAGATAGAAGAGTATGTAATCGTCTTAGAGGTTGTATGGTATAGCCCAACTTACCTGCCAACCTGATGGCATGTTACACTGTTCTTTTGTACCTCCTGGTGCTGCTTTTTCCTTTTCACTAGGTGTAATTTTTATTTTTTTTTTTTTTGTGGGGAGACAGAGGCTTTGTGGCAGCTTTGCTACTGCAGACAGGACTGTTGTGAGATGAGTAAGAGATTCACTAAGTTTAATTCACTGTGATCCATTACTGTTACAGAATTATATCCAGTAAATCATGTTGGCTGTGACTGACAGATTTTTAGAAATAATAATAATTAAATGTTCTGTGAACTGGGGATGGGGAGCATCTTCTTGTGTACCTAAAATTTACATTTTTTTCCCTGAAATTAAGTTGTGTGGTGAAGACTGTGGCAAATAGTTTTTGGTTCAGTCACTCAAATGACTTGCAGTAACTGGGATGAATCCAAAGGAAAGTGTTAAGAATGATAGAAAACGTTGAAAATATGCCTTATTGTGAAAGAGTAACACAATGTTAGGGTTGTTTTAAGCCTAGAGGTGAAAAGGATAGAGAGGACTTGCCAAGTATTCATATTTGTAAGAGATTTTTACACTTAAAATTATCTGCTGTTCATGTCCATGGCAAGTGGTCAAAAAAGTACTAGAAATTAATTGCACAGATGAAGATTTAAGTAGACATTTAAAGACAAACCATCAAACAAAAAAGGTGGTTGAGCAGTGAGAAAGATTAAGGAAGAATGTGCAGAATCTTTCTCCTGTGGTCTTACATAGCTTATTGCTGCCTCTGTCCTGGAGCAGAGGGAACACTCAAGTCCTTTTAGTTTCTTCTCATCCTCATTCTCCCAGATTCTGAGGTCTCCAAAGTTGTGGTGAGGTGTGCCTTTTGTATTGAAGGATGAGCCCACTCTTACAAGGGATGGATGCTCTGAAGGTGCAAATGTAGTCAGCTTCTCCATGTTGGGAGTCAGGGATGGAAACTAACCTCTCAGAAAGAACAATGATGGATGGTTGTCTCGATATGGCTTCTTGTAATTTGAAGGAAGCAGAGGAAGCAGGAAGAAACAGGGGAAGCATTTGATTTTTCAAACACAATGGAGCCTGGGACATGCTGAGACAGAGCATCAGTGAGGATGTTTTTCTAATGGTCTGTAGGACATTCCAAGACAGAGACAAAGTGCTCAAATTCTGGAAGGTGCTTCTGAAATGGCAGGGACAGGGTTAGTAATGTTAGTCCAGAGAGAGACAGGGGCTGGAGAATAAGAAATATTAACAGTATCAGTCTAACTTTGTCTGATTTCTGTAGCTTAAAGTCTGTAAAATGAATATAAAGTTAATGGATGCCATTGTGTTTCCCAGTGACTTAGGAGAGGCTTCACTGAAAATCATTGGCGTCACTGCAGAAGACGATGGTGTCTATACATGTATAGCTGCAAACGATATGGGTTCGGTTTCATCTTCTGCCAGTCTACGAGTTTTAGGTAGGCCTGTCTCTTTGCTTTTTTTATCTAATTACATTTGAAGTGTTTGGTACCCATATTATAGGAAAAGGAAAACCCTGTCTTTTGGGCATCCCTCTGTTAAAGGAGGGATACAACAAACCTTTTCACCTGTGATATGTTATCAGGAATAGATGCACTTATAGGATGTAACTAATCAGAGGTTCATACAGACAAGATGCCTACACAGTACTGTCAATGTGCTTTTACCTCGTCTGTCAATACTAGTTCACACTATGAATCATTCTGCATTCTTAGTTTAGTCTCAATGAAAGTTACTATGCTAACTTGTATAATTTGTAAAGTGTACAGATAAGAAAAGAGTAGCATTGTTCTGTATTTTAATATGCTCCTTTGTTTGAATTGTAAAACCACAGTGTTCGGGAGAACATATAACTATTTATCGTCTTCGCATCATGGATCTACACTTGAATTACATCATTTCAGTACCTGAAGTGAACCAAACTGAATGTTCGACAGAATGAAAAGGAAACCTGCAAAGATGAAAAATGCCTGTGTTTTGGAGGCAGACAGCAAAGAAAAAAAAAAAAAAGTTTTTCACTTGGTGTGTTTGATGGCATAGTGATAAGTTTCAGCATGTGTTTGTACATCAGCCTGGAGAAAAGAAGGCTCCAAGGAGACTTAATAGCAGCCTACCAGTACCTGAAGGGGGCCTACAGGAGAGATGGCGAAACACTCTTTATCAGGGAGTGTAGTGAGAGGACAAGGGGTAATGGTTTTAAGCTGAATGAGGGCAGATTTAGACTAGACATTAGGAAGAAATTTTTCACTGTGAGGGTGGTGAGGCAGTGGAACAGGTTGCCCAGAGAAGCTGTGGATGCCCCATCCCTGGAGGTGTTCAAGGCCAGGCTGGATGAGGCTTTGAGCAACCTGGGCTAATGCAGGGTGTCCCTGCCCATGGCAGGGGGTTGGTACTTGATGATCTTTAAGGTCCTTTCCAACCGTAGCCATTCAATGATTCTATGATTCAGTTATTCTTCTCTTAATTGTTCTAGATCCTCCATTTTTAGAAATAGGGAAAACAGTAAGATAGCAGGATAGCAGGCTTTCTTCATGCAGTTTGTAACAGTTTATGTTATCTGGGTTCTTTAGTCTACTGAGAAGCCCATAATTTATCCACCGGTTGGAATTATTTAATAGATGGGATGGCTCTGGCTCAAATAGAATCATTTAAAAGAAAATAAGATACGAAGTGCTGCATTCTGTCTTTGTACGTCTGTCCCAGCTGATATGGGGACTTGTAAAGTTGTTCGAAACCTCTCCAAAATATGTTCTTTCTTCCCTTCTTTTCAAAAACTTTGCCAATTTCCCGGAATGTTGAAACTGGACTGTGAAAGATGTGTCACTTCCAAAACCTCATCTGAAATTTTTTGGGAGTTTATAATCAGTGCCTGCCGCTTTAAGCTTTGAGTGCCTTACTGCCAACATATTGAGGTAGTGTGAAGGGTTAGCCCTTGGCTGGGGG